ACGTCTGGGAGACCTTGTGGAACTTGCCTAATCCTGCGCCCTCTGTCATATTATTCATGATTTCCAGCATCAGATCATTGACTTGGTGCGTTCTCAGTCTTGGAATTCACAAAGCAGCTTACTTGAGTATTTACGTCTCATTACCTCTCAATTGCTAATTATCTAAAATTTGCACTAGGAACTTATTAGTAAACGTGTATCTGAACCCCCATTATTGTATTACGATCTTATATTATCCTGTCTGAACCACCCTCCTTGCAAACTATTATATATATTATCCTTTCCGCCTCTAGCTCATTGGTTTGAATCAAGTATACTTGCTATGCTTGTTAAATGGTCTTCAGTCATGCATTCGGCTATAGGATTTTTGATTAAAAATGTATTGATTTCATACACTTAAAAAATGTTACCTCAACCTTAGATTGAAAAACCTTATTACGAATTAGGGAGTCAATATTGCTTGATCATGACCTTATTGCTATATAGCATCGAATCATGGATTAACAATCTCTTGATCTGATAGCTGATTTTTACTTTGAATTTGATTGTTTCTTTTTTTACTCCATAAAGGATCATATTTGTGAACAGTACCTATTATTTTTACTCCTTCACTACAATTAGAACTGTTAACTTCGTCGCCTTGAATTTTATAGGTGATCAAGTATCTCGAAAGGGCACGCTAACCGGTGGTTACTATGACAATCGCTTATCTCGTTTAGAGTTGCAGAAGCGCAAGCAGAAGACTGAGATGGATATCCAGGAGACAGAAAATGTGCGCGAAAACAATTCAAAGCGTAAAGAACAGGTAGACGCTCAGATTAATCGCATCATTGACGATCTTCAACGAAAAGAGACGGTCCGCTCTAAACATGAGTGAGTATTCCTCATAAACTTGTTATCAGTAACCTTGAGCTCTAAGTGCCTTCCTAGATTCGCCTTTTTCTGTCTCATCAAATCTTGACTCAGTAATTCATTTTTATATTTTTATCGGGTTTAATTTCCTGGTCACAACATCTATTATTTAAGTAAAAAAATATTGAGCAAAAGTTATTTACATCGTTTTCTAGACTGTACGCCATTTGGGTCCATCAAGATATGCCATTCGTCTTGTTTCCTATATTCTTTTTACTCATTACTCGTAAGAACTTTCAGTAACCTATGGTTACTGCGAGATCGCCTAATTCTTACATTTTCGCTATAAATACGACGGCCTGATTTGATATACTTCGTGTAATCTTTTGAGAAATTTAGAAAGAAGTACTCGCTTACTTTTTTTATTACATTTTGCAATTCACATTTAGGCGTCTTTTTGTTTATTTAGGATGACTTTCGACAAACTGAAAAAAGATATTCATCTCTGGAAAGAAGAATTGCGTGCAAAAATGGAGGCTTTACCACAAAAAGAATGGAAACTATCTTCTGTTAAGCACGATTTGGAGCAGATGAAGTCTACGATGGACTCATACAAGGTGATATCGTCTAAATTTTCCGTTTATCTCTTGGAATTGTTGGATAGCATATTATTCGCTATTCAGTATTACCTATTCAAATATCCATCAGTGGCTAAGCTTTTCGCTTCTATGTTTCTTGCATTTAACTTTCGCCTGATGTAATAAATAAATTTTATTCTCCATACTTCAGAATTTACCTCCTTATTTCTGTCAAGCTTTTAATT